ATGCCAAGCGTACTATCAGAAAATCCATTGGACCATTTTTGGGCCTTGGGCCATTAGGGGTTTTGGGCTTTGAATAGTTGAGTTAAGTATGGGAAGGGCAAATGGTCTTTTTCCCTTAATAAGATAAAAGATGATTGGACCATTGATTATGGGTTAAAACCCTGATTATTAATTAGGATTGTTATTGGGTTATGTTTAGTGTGAGGAGCCGTGTTAGCAGCAACCTGAGTGTGTGATTCAGTTATCTTCAGTTAGAGGTGAGTCTTCTTACCACACTAGTGGGTCGAAGGCACTAATGCCGACCCATTGTCTTGTATGTGTAGAATGTATGCTATTGTATGATTATTATTGATGTGATTATATGAAATATGCACGAAGCCAATCTGGGCTCGGAGTCATTATGGACTCAGGGTTGATATGGACCACAGGGTTGACACGAACCAACACAACTATTTGTTGTTATTTGGGGTTGATACGGACCTGATACAACCACGTGCTGTTATATTATGTGTGTGATGTATGTGACATTTTGGGGAAGCTCACTAAGCTTTGTGCTTACATATATGTTTTTGGTTTTAGGTACCCCCGGTACAAAAGGGAAGGACCGAGCGTGATGGCACAACATTCTCCCCCTCATGATTTCTGCATTTATGATCTCTTTTACTCTGATGTTTTGTAATAGTTGTATTTTGGATGATTTTGGAACATGTGATGTTTGGGATTGATGAACTTACTCTGATGTTTTGTGATAGTTGTATATTGGATGATTTTGAAACATGTGATGTTTGGGATTGATGAACTTAAAAATGAAAAAAAATTCTTATGAATTTTGGGTCGTTATAGTAGGGGTGGGGGGAGCTCATTTTTTTTTAATTTATAAATAACATATATGTAATAAATGAAAAATAATAATAGGAAATAAAATATAGCAATTTCATGCTTGACAGAGATTAAACGTGCAAGTTTAAAACTAATCGGGGTGATCCGAGTGAAAAACAGTCAGTGACAAAACGCACAGATTGGACCAAACCATATGGACGATTCGTATAATCTACTATATATTTAACTAGGCAAATTTCTGCGCATTACGCAGAGTATAATTATATTGTTTAAAATCTTGATTTTTTAATGTGTAGTTAGTGATTACAAGTAAGTATTACCAAGTTAGTAAAATTCAGTAACATATTAGAACCCGATACATCCAATCTAAAAGGTAAAATCTCTACGAAGTAGGTTAGTCCCGTATTGATGTTTACTTTTTTTTTTTGGAAACGTCAAATATATATAAAAAAGACTCACATCTAGTAAGGAGCTAGACACGACCAAAACGACAAAGGATTATAGTGTGTACAATTCACATATAACCACACCTAAATGGGCAACACACCTAATCCAACCAACAACACGTATTATGTTTTCCAATATACTTATGCCAAGAATACACTAGTGAGATTACATCATCACACCTTCGTAGGAGATTATGGAATCTTATTGTGTACTTTATCGTTCCTCGCCTTCTAGATTCGCCAAAGGAGATCGTAGACAATAGCAATTAATAGCTTCCGCTTCTTGGGACAATTCCCCAGCACGCAACAAAGTTGATAAGTTCCCAAACACTCGTGAATTGTCTTGAAGGAATGTCATACTATTTTAGGATCCATTCTAACACAGTTGTTGCAAAAGGACAACTAATTAGAATGTGATCTACCATTTCCATCCCCGTATCGCAAATATGACAGATCATTGAGGAAATTTGGATCCTTCTCCTTGACAACTCCATCGCTACTGGAATCTTACCAGACACCACCATCCAGATAAAGCACGAGACTTTTAATGGAGCTAACTTGTCCCAAATGAACCTTTCATCTCCTCTAAGGTTTTATATTTAAAAGTATAAATATTTTTTAACTATTAGAAAAATAGTCTTATAATATTTTAATTTATGCGTGTCATTTAAAACCATATTTATTTCAACCAATAAGTTAAGTATATATTAGGTTGAAAATTAATTAGTTAGTTTTAATTTAAACTAATAAATGATTTTAATGTATTAAAAAAATCAAATTGATGAGATTAAAGTGAATGATTTAATTAGTTTAAAAAAATTGAGTATGTTTGGTTAATTAGTCAAACGTTCAAGAGTTTGTGTAACTTTCAAATGAATATTATGCATTAAGTATGTGTGGTTAATTAGTCGAAAGTTTATGTAACTTTCAAATGAATATTATGCATTAAGATGACATTTATTATAAAATAAAAATCAAGATTAGTGAATAATTAAAAAAATACACATTTTAACAATCTTGATATTGAGTTTTCTTGTTAAGTGTTTCTTTTATACTTTAAAATTTATTATCATTTCTATTATTAATTATTAACAACTTTTTATAGGTTTAAGTTGTGTATGTAGGTTAAGTTATGTGTTTCTTCATAAAAGCCCAATTATTGTTTTATTGCAATTGATGTGTTTGATTCCTTACTCTCTTAGTGTGGATTTAAGAAAATCGTTGCACTAATCATGTTCAAAAATATGAAAAGTATGAATGGAAAACAACAATAGAATTAAAGACCAATAGATACAACTTATACAACAAACCAACAACAATTAACGATGGTAAATGATAAAGTTTCTAGCACCATCTTTAAAAAATATCAACGTATTCCGATATTTCATTAAAACATCTTAGAATATACAATAAAAAACTACCAATTTTCTCAAAAGGAGATTAACCCATCATCTCATTAAAGTGAATATCCAAATCTCAATATGTACATCGACACAAAAACTTGCATATTGTTCAAAATGTGATGAAATTTTCAACCTAAATATTCATTCAATCTTAGAGTGTTTATAAACCAGTTCAACAAATTATGCTTATCACATTTTAAGCAGACAAATATTCCTTCAATCTTAGAATATTTATAACTCAGTTTAGCAATTTATGCTTATCACATTTTAAGCAGAACTGGAATAATAAAACTTGAAGTTAAATCCTCACCCTTGATTGCTCCATTCACCAATTCAATTTTATCCCCAATAATAAAAACTTATAAGAAATGGATGGTGTGGATCCTTGCGGTTCAAAAAAAAAATTGCTCGTAGCTGCATCCACAGTAAAACATTGCATGTGTCAATTTTTAAAATAAATGTTAGCAAGTTCTCAAACCTAAGAGCTACTTTTATTCATCATTAAAAAACTATATGTGAACAAACCAACAAAAAACCAATTGTTTTGGTAAATATATATTGAACACATTGGCTTTGTCCATTTTCAAAATGAAGTAATAAGTTAGATAAAAATATATACCTTACTTATTATAGATTATTGAGCTTCAATATTATATTAAAAATATACGACTTGGGTTTACACCAAAAATAAAAAAGAACAAAGGAGCAGTATTTAGGCAAAAAATAAAAAAATGATTTTCTTTTGGTTTAGGATATGTGTTGATGAAGAAGTAAGTATTTATAGGCTAACTATATTTGTTGAAGGAAATTTTAAAAGCCAAATTAAGTTGTATAAGTTGAATAGTTTTGGGAGTTTCAAATGCATGAAATTCAAGGAAAAATGATTGTTTTATATGATATATAGATAGATAGATATAGATACATACAAATATAAATATAGATAGATATAAATGATAGATTATATATAAAACTAAATGTTCTTTTTAATACACTACAAAATTCGGTTTTGAAATTCGTAAATAATCTCGACCATGCGATTTTAGTAATTCATAGCAGCCTTTATAGTATGCATGTTTATTATTAGTTTTTTCGGGTCGTAATTAAGTACTCTCTAACCATAAAAACAAAAACACCATAATTTCCTTGAAAGCTAGTCAGCTAGTCTGAGAAGATACTTAAACATCAGCTAGGCAAAAAGTTTAATTTTTTGGATTTCATAGAAAATGTTGAACTTGTGGGATTTCAAAAAAAATGTCAAAAATGTTGAGTAAATTTATAAATATCATATTTAGTGATTTTGTTTATGATTGTTTCATTAATATTAACTGTTCGAGGAGTAATTTTATTTAAGATTATTAGGAAATAGGAATGAAAATTCTAATAAAATACATTGATAGATTTTCCTGTTCGAGGAGTACATTGGGCTTCTAATTGTTAAATGTTGGGCTTTAATATTTAAGATTTTAAGTATATTATGTTGAAACCATTTGTACCCAAATAAGATGAGCAAATACTGTAATGAATCCGAACTACACAGGTTTTTAATAGACTTTCCTGGTTTAATGTATAGAGTCCCATGTGAGCTCTAAAATTGGCCCAAACTTGCAAAATTCACATGTAAAGTAAGATGAAATTTCTCATTTTTTTTTTCAAACTTAACAAATTTAAGATAATTATTATTCTGGATGTGATTAATTTCAAGATTCTTTCTCTTTATGATTTTACAAATTCAAAATTATTGATTTTCTTTTTCATGTTAACAAGCTTAAAATTGTAGGTTGTTTATTTCTTGATGTCAGTGATTTTAAGAATCATAAAATTTTCGATTTTTTTATTTCTCAATAGTTGATATGATACTAGATGTGAGATCCGTATACTACACGAGTTTATTAAAAATAAAAATTTAATATCAATATTTAAATATTAAATATTTTATAAAATAACACTTTTACATAACATAATATAATCTTTTGGACATTTATAAAAGAAAATCAAATATTCTTTAAAGCATTTATGAGACTTTATTATCAAATTAATAGAATGATTCTCTTTCTTTATAAAACTCGTTAGAATTTTATTTTAAGAAAAATATAAATTCCCAAAAAAATGACAATTGCAAAATAATAATTCTAAACTTGGTTCAAAATTACATGTGACAAACTCTTGAGAATTTGACAAGCTGCAAAAAAAAAAAAAAGAAATTACATGTGACAAACTCTTGAGAATTTGACAAGCTGCAAAAAAAAAAAAAAAAAAAAATTTCATTTTATTTAAGAGAGAGGATTATGATTGATACTTTTATATCGTTCAAAATTTGTTTATCTTTCGAAAACTTTCCCAATTACGATGATGCATATTGCATAGCCATGACCAAATTGAAAGCATCATATATTTTAAGCGCAAAATACTCGAACCCATCTGAAATCACCTTCAATAATGGCGTTCAAGGCACAAAATCTTCATGTATTGTTGTTTAAATCTTCAATTATTCCATCAGTGGCACCATGCACTTCTTGATAGAGGCACGCAGCTAGGGTTTTAGAGGGTTTTAGCTGGAGATTGGTAATTTACGACCTACGATTCGACATGGATAACAACAACTTGGAGCAGACATTGCAGGAAGGAAAGCTTTACCGATATGTAAATAATCTAATCGTTGCTCATCTTCGAGACAACAATCTCACCCAGGTATTGCCCTTGTGCGCTCTGTTTTGTTCTTCGTTCAATTGATTTTAGCTTTAGTGTCTCGATCCCTCTAATCCCTAGATTTGTAATCATGATAACTTACATCTCGATTATGGGAATCATACTGGCAACTCTGTAAGACTGTAACTACAAGATTGATATGCATTTGAACTTTTCAACACAAGTTTGATTTACTACAAGTTTTGTAGCTGATTCGTTTCAATTGCATTACTTACTTCTTTCTAGGCTGCAAGTGCAGTTGCTTCGGCTACAATGACACCACTTAACATTGAAACTTCTCCCAACAAGCTCCTTGAACTGGTTGCCAAGGTTTGTTTCTGGTAATCTATATATGGGTGCTTCTTTTTGACTTAATATAGAAAGGATGGCTACTCTTTTACAAATTTACCCTCAAACTTAATGATGTGTCTGAAAAATAAACAGGGTCTTGCAGTGGAAAAAGATGAAACACTGAGAGGAGGAGTACCTTCATCTACATTGTTTGATTCAAACACATCATTACCTGCAGCATATGGCTCAATACCACCTTCCCGTGCTGCTTCTGTTGATTTCAGGTACTTCTGAAATCAAATATTCTTGGGGGTAGTTTGGTAATTTTACATTTATGTTAACTATCGCTTAATCAAACAGTGCTGCACATGATACAAAAGGCTCATCAAAGAGTTTCCCAAAGCACGAAACAAGACATGTTTCAGAACATAAGGTATGCAATATGCATCCATATGGACCATATGAATTTAAGATTAAAGTTGGGGGGATAGTTAGGTCATTTTACATTTATTTTATGGTGTAGAATGTTGCAAGATGTGCAAGATTTAGTCCTGATGGAAGGTTTCTTGCATCGGGAAGTGCAGATACCTCAATTAAGTTATTTGAGGTAATAATCTTTTGTTATAAATCTATAATAGCTCCAATTTATAAATACAAACATTATTATGTAACAAATTTGTTGACATTTATTTACAGGTGGCAAAAATCAAACAGATGTTGCTGCCAGAGGGAAGAGATGGTCCTGTAAGACCTGTAGTACGGACATTTTACGACCATCTACAAGTAAGTCTTTCTTCATTTAAAAAATTTCCTTTTTTTTTTTTTTAAGTTGATAACTTTTTTTGAAAAGGGCAAAAAAAAATATGGATTTAGGGAAAAATGGCTTAATGGATAATGATGTCTGTCTAGATAAAGTGTTGTATACATGAGGTTTTGTTTCTGTTTTAGATTGAACAAACTGTTTGAAGGAGACTAAATGACCATTTTGCCCTTGCATTCCAAAAATAAATTTCGTAACAACCATAAAAGCCTAAAATGCCTAAAGTACCCTTCCACTACCAGAGATGCTCTTTATTTTGTTGAATTCCCATTTTTACCCCCTTCAGAATGCTTGACTAAACTTAGTGGATGCATGGCACGCCATTTCATCATTTTATTGATTTAGCCACTGAACTATTATTATAAGAAAAAATAAAAAGATTTTTTTTTTTTTTTTTTTTATATTTATGCAGCCAATAAACGATGTAGATTTCCATCCTCACAATACTATTTTGATATCCGGGGCCAAAGATCACACAATAAAGTATGATCCTAAATCCATAACTGTTTAATCTTTTAATAAATAGCATCTCAAAGCCTATAAATTATCAATTATATTAATATTCACCACAATTCAGGTTTTTTGACTTTTCCAAGACAGTTGCAAAAAGAGCATTCAGGGTTATCCAGGTTTATTTCTTATCTTATCATAAATCATAATTCATAATTCATAATTCATCACAAACACATAATTTAAATTTCTTACAAATAATTTTTAATTTTCTCACTCTTTAAATTTTTTCAGGACACTCACAATGTTCGATCTGTATCTTTTCATCCTTCTGGAGATTTTCTTCTTGCAGGGACAGATCATCATGTCCCACATTTATATGACATCAATACTTTCCAGTGTTATCTCTCAGCAAATGTACAAGAAATCGGTGCCACAAGTGCAATAAATCAGGTACAATTCTACAAATACTCTTTATAACCAATAAACACATTTAAAAAATAAAATAAAATAAAAAAGTCGGTGTTTTTTGTAGGTGAGATATTCATGTACAGGTGGCATGTATGTAACAGCCTCGAAAGATGGTGCAATTAGAATATGGGATGGGGTGAATAGTAATGTTGTCAGGTCTATACTTAGTGCACATGGGTCAGCTGAGGCCACTAGTGCAAATTTTACAAAAGATCAAAGGTAAAGTATTTTTATTTTGATGATTTTATTTGGAAAATGAGAATTTATATTTGGGTTTTCCTTTTTTTATTTAGATATGTTCTTTCATGTGGAAAGGATTCATCTGTGAAGCTTTGGGAAGTTGGAACAGGGAGATTGGTGAAGCATTATCTTGGAGCTACACATACACAGTTGCGATGCCAGGTAAGCCGTTACAAAATGCTGACGTGTCATCTAATTTTTTGACCTGGTTGCTGACATGGACTTGTTATTTAATATTCTGCAGGCTATTTTTAATGATACGGAAGAATTTGTATTATGCATTGATGAACCTAGCAACGAGGTGGTATTTTTTTATGGTTTTATTTGAATTGAATATATTTATAATAACTGATCGTGATGTTTTTGATACACAGATAGTTATATGGGATGCTGTTAGTGCAGAAAAAGTGGCAAGATGGCCTTCGAACCATGTGGGTGCACCAAGGTGGCTCGAACACTCACCCACTGAGCCAGCATTTGTGTCATGTGGTACTGACCGGTCAATAAGATTTTGGAAGGAAACTCCTTAGTGGCTCGGTTAGTTAGTTTCACGTGAAATGTGGGTCAAGCTTTGACCATTTTCGTCTTTATATTTCAAGGATGATGTGATTGTGAGTCAATATAGTTGATACGAAAAATGAATATTTGACACATGAAATTTTAAAACGAAAAAAAGGATTGGTATAAATTAATGAAATTAATCTTGGACATTTAGATTGGTTACATTGAGCTTCTTGAGTTTCGTGGTTGATTTTGGTATGATTGTTATGCGGTGTTTCATCATTTTCCTCAAAGTTTACAACACTATAATTATGAGAGCCTTGTCATGTAAGTCATGAATGTCTATACAACTATTTGTACTACTCAAAGAATATTAAAATTCTAAACAAAAATTCTCATGTTATGTTTTCTACGATCTGGATACTATGTGAAGGGCGATAGATTTGGTATCCCATTGATCTTGCGAGATAAACGATGAAGAAGTAACTTATAGTTTTCATATCAAGTTTTCTTAATGAAGGATTATAATATTTAGATATCTTAAGAACCCCACGCCTTATGATTCGTTCTTGTTAATATTTCAAATGGATTCTTAAGAACATATTTATAAGGACCGAGGCAAGTTTGTATTTGCTAACATACTATGTACTATCTTGTGGCCTTCACAAAAATCAAAGAGAGACATGGATGTTTGACCCACATCTGTAATATTCAGCTCCGTCTCCATCTAATCTTACTACTTAAAATCTTTCGGCTGAGTTGGTTTTCAACTTCTGAATCAAATGTTTTAAACATACGAAAATGTCCACATATATCAATGTGTATTTGTTCAAATTATTCACACCTTGTGGCAACTTTTTTACTTTCTTTTGTCATATTTCCGTAACACACTTAGTCCACTAACATTTCCCTTTTCACTAGTCTTAACTTCCTATCTTGTGATGTATTGTAGCAATGTTGATGCCAAATTTGTCAAGATCGGGATCCTACGTAGGAATATTTTTGACTTTTCAGTATCACGATCGGGATCTTAAGATCCAACCAAAAATGACATAATTATAAGTTTAAAAATTAAATAGTCTCCTGGAATTTGTAAAAATGAAAATATAGTTATAATTTCATTTAAAGGTAGGATCGGATCCCCGATCCCTCAATCCCAATCATGATCCTATGATCTCGTATGTGATCTTATATCATCATCATGTTTTTCAAGTGTAGGATCATAAGATCCTTGACAACTTTAATTGATGCTATAACGTAGTTAAGTCTCCATCTCTTACCTTATCTTATGTGAATTCTTGAGATTTGGTCATCCACACATAATCTAAAGAGATTTCCCTCGAAACAACCAAAATCAATGATTTCCGAATTTAATTAAATTGTAACTTTACCAAGACTAACAGTAAATGAATAACCTTAATCATTTAACTTATGTTAGCTTCCATGTTCAAATAATTTCCATTCTCAACCTTCATTGTTCTTTGGTTTATTTCTTATCTCTATATTGTATATGAAATCCTTGTAGAAAACTTGAAATGCATACATGGAACCGGAATCAATCCACCATGTATTTACAGGAATGTTGACATCAAGAGATTCGTAAATCATGTCAGTATCAAGATTACATATCTTTGTTGATCATTCATTGGACTAAAGGCAATCCAGTTGGAAGCACCACTTTTTATCGAAAAAATTGAAATAACCAGGATCCTTGAACTTGTTAGGACTCAAACTCGTATATGAACCCGTTTTATGAGCCTTAGAACTCTCCATGCTTAACGTTTACCCTTGCTCTTGACTAAAGTAGTAGTGGTAGCATGAGCAACCTCAAGCTTTTCAACTTTAAGGCACATAAATCAAGTTATTATGCAATTCATCATGATCCAACACATCAAGATTACTAAAATGTATTTCTCAATCTAGATGACAATGAGATCCATATCCAACCTCTTTCAGGGTGTACCACATAGATGTGGGATTTGAAAGTGACTGTTGCAACTTGAAATAATCAGATAATCAATTGATTAAAACCAAATATAGAATCATATTTTACATGTTTCTTTGTATCTGATTATTTTGCCCCTGATCATTTAAAGTAATCTTTCGTCAAGCAGTTTTATCATCAGCCTATACAATGACTCAGAAGCATCAATTGTATGAATACAAGACCAATGGATAAAAACAATTTCTAGAGCACTTTTTCGAAAAAAAAAAAACGTCTAGAGCAACAGGAAAACACTATCTTGGGTTTATTTTTGATAAAAAAAAACTAGGTGTTCAGTGTTCTAATGTTTGCCAAATAACAAAATGAAAAACAACAAGGGAAACATAATAAAATTCAATGATAAGATCATTGTACCGATTTATATTTCGTATCACACCTTCAAAATCCCTCAATAAGCTCGCCTTTGAGCTTTCTTTGGCTTCTTCACAAAACTCAACCTGATCTGCTTAAGCCGTCTCCTCTTCCTAGCCATCTTTTCTGGTAATGTCTCCCGCTTCTTCTCCTTCACCATTTTTGGTTTCTTCATAAACCTTGGATCCAATTTATAAGCTTTCACTACAACTCCTACACCCTTTCTTTCAGCTTCTTTAAAAAGAACATTCGCCTTTTCAACACGCCCATGAGCACAAAGCTTCCCCATCAATAGATCATAAGTCTTGATCCCAGGTTCACAACCATCTTTCTTCATCTTTGCAAAAACAGTCAACGCATGGTCAATCCTCTCAATTCCACACAGAATCTTGAGAAACTCATAGTAAGCTTTCTTATTGAGTGCGTCACCAAATCCAGCAGATTTCATCTTATCCATCATCTCATCACCCTCTCCTGTTCTTGCAGCTTGATACAAACTCTTGATTAGAACAAGAAATGTTTTCTCATTTGGATGACACCCCCATTCACCCATTCGATCAAACAAATTCATTGCTTCTTCAGTCTTACGAATTTTGCAAAGATTATTAATCAAGATGTTGAAAGTTTCCACGTTTCTTGGAACACCAGCCACATCCATATCGATCAATACTTTTTCTGCTTCGAATTGTAACCGAAAGGGATCTTTCTTCCTACAAAGCTTACACACACAATCAAGAATGGCGTTATATGACACTGGACCGATTTCAAACCCTCCTCTATACATCTCTTGTGATAACCTCCGAGCTTCATCAAGCTTCCCATCAACACACCAACCTTTAATCAAAGTATCACAGATGAATTCATCTGGGAAAAACTCATTAGCGACATTTGTAACCATTTTCTCAGCGTAACTAGCAAACCCATGTTCACATAACTTAGACACGATGAATTTCAGCGAATCCATATTCCTCACGAAGGCGTAATCACTCTCCATCTTATCAAAAAATGCAACCGCCTGCGTCGGTCGACCAGCTCTAACCAAACGATCTATGGATGATTCAAATGTCTTAACACCCGAAATACCTTTGCTGGCTACAAGAAGTTCGTGGGTTGCCTTGAAATCCTTACGCCGACCAAAGTAATCGATGAAATAAGCCAAAGTTTCGTCAGTTAGCTTAAAGTCAGTTCTTGTGGATACCCATTTATGGAAATCGAGTGCTGTGCGTCCCGATTCCGGGGAGAGATTGAGTGCAGTGAGAATAATATTAGAGGTGAGAGTGATATGAGAGAAGCTTAGGTCAAGGCGATGAGGGAGAGGGAGAGATTGCTCATTTGGGTCTTTGAGGAGCTCATACGAGAGAGATTGTGCAATGTCTTGTGAATCTTCAGGTGGGGTTTCGATTTGGGTTTGGGAAGAGAAGAATTTAGAGAACGGGGGAAATGGTGTAAAAAGAGAGTAGGGTTTAGAGAGTGAGGGTTTATGGGGGTGGAGAAAATGGTGGATTGATCGCAGTGGTGGCGTCGGCGGCGGCGGTGGAAGTGATGAAGAGAAGTACCGACGGCGGAGTAGGATCCGAAGATGAGCCGCCATTAACGGCGGAGACGGTCTAGGCATCGCTGTTTCAGAGCAGGAGAAAGGAAAAAAGCGGAGAGCTTTGTGTAATTCAAGATTTTAAGATCGTTCTTCGAAACCTAAAACGACTTGACCCGGATTATTTCATCCGACCCGAAAGTTAAATCCGGGTTGTGTATGCTGTTATGTACAAAGACGACACTACCCAAGTACCCGACTTTTTGACTTGTTATTTTTCCATAATTTTAGAGGGTATAAGAGTCTTTTTGCGTCTAAATAATATGAGAGGCATATAAGGAAGTGGATAGAATGAGATATACGATATATGTAGGATGATGTGGTTGCCATAAAATCAAGAGACTTCATCTTTTGTCCATAGTTCTTGGGTTTTTAGGCCAAAAAATCATAAAAGGTACACATTATGAATTTTTTCTTTGTAATTCTTCTTTACTCATTTCATGTATGAATGTGTTCTTATGTTTTAATTTTTATCCATTCAATAGGTTGTTCCAAATTAGTTAATTTCATTCCCAATTTGTTAAGTAAAATAGTGGATTATCTGATTTTGGGGAAATGCATTAGCGAACAAAATTGCATATTTGTTTTGGTTGAGTGAGTGATATTAGATCATCTCCTCATCATGTTTAAAATTGAAGAATTATGTAAATTTGTTATTCGAGAACAGAGAGAGCAATACATTGCAAAAGAAACTCCAATTTATGTATGTGTATATGTATCAGTGAGAAGTAAATCAAGTAACTCTACGTTAATTTCATTATATTCTAAAATGGTGTTATATTCTAAAATGGTGAGAAGTAAATCAAGTAAATCAAGTAAATCAAGTAAATCAAGTAGAGCAATACATTGCAAAAGAAACTCCAATTTATGTATGTGTATATGTATCAGTGAGAAGTAAATCAGTGAGAAGTAAATCAAGTAACTCTACGTTAATTTCATTATATTCTAAAATGGTGTTACTAAGTTGAGCTTCTATAAACATAGCGTCATGAAGCTGTCTATTACGTATCTTTTCCGTTTTGTTATGAGGAAGTTCCCAGTGCCCACCTGGTGTTCGATGAAAGTCCTGAATGAAAGTACCTTGATAATGCACATGTTATCGTATTTATTTTACATTTGAAAAACCCAAATCTTGGATATTGGTTTGTTGTGCAATGTGCAGAGCAAAACCAAAGACAATGTTGTCTTTGCAACAGTTACCATGTATTCATCTGAGTTCCAACAGTCGCTTCCAAAGAGGTGTTCCTTTTGTTGTTAGAGCAGAGCAAATATCGTCCTCTTCAACCACTCTCCAAGGTACACATCTGTAATGAATATTGTGGGCCAGCTCAACTTAGGGGTTGCTGAAGGAATAAGAGAGAGATATTTTAACCGGGTTATTTATTTATTTTATTATTATTTTTTTACAGATAAAACCGGGAGGCGCCAACTACTTGCCACTGGGGTAACAATAGCTCCTTGGTTTCTTTTGTCATACCAGAAATCAACAGCATGTACGTATTCTTCCCTGCTGATTAATGATTATGATTTATTTCACCTAAAGCTGATAGATATTTGTTTGTCTGAATGATTAATTAATTTATGGGTTTCTAAGAGTAAACTTTTGATATGGCTCTCAGTTGCTGCAGAAAATGCAAAGGGATTTTTACCTGTCACTGATAAGACTGATGGATACTCATTTATCTATCCCTTTGGATGGCAGGCTTGATTCTTTTTCTTTTACTTCCTCGTTTCTATAAATCTGTTTGATGAAAAACATTAATCAAATGTATTAAATGCTCCTCAATTTCCTTTTTTCATTGAAGCAGGAAGTTGTTATTGAAGGGCAAGACAAGGTTTTTAAAGATGTTATTGAACCTCTAGAAAATGTAAGTGTTACTGTGTTCCCTACAAACAAAGAGGACATAAGAGACCTTGGTTCCCCACAAGAGGTTGCTGCAGCTTTAATTAAGAAGGTTCTTGCTCCCCCATCACAGAAGACCAAGCTACTTACTGCAGCCGAGGTTATATCCGTAATTTTATCTCACATTTCTCCATTATTAATTTAATGGTTTCTTAAATTTATCACCAAATTCATTTTCATTTCGCAGCATGACGTGGATGGGAAAGCTTATTACACTTTTGAATTTGTGGCTCAAGCCCCAAACTTCACTCGCCATGCTCTCAGTACTATCGTCATCGCAAACGGTATATATAAATACTTTACAAATTTTCTCCCCTTCAGTCACAGTCACAATCACAGTCTGTTTTTTTTTTGGCAGGGAAGTTTTACACTTTGACAACGGGGGCAAACGAGAGAAGATGGGGAAAGATGAAAGACAAATTAAACACCGTTGTTGATTCCTTCAAAATCTTTAATGTCTAAAAGATTCACTCATTGTTTTCAACTTCCTAGCTAACACTACAGGCTAGCCCAATTCCATATATATAGTTGAGCATTTTGTGTCTTGATTCTTGAGTGATTGCATTTTCATTAAATTTCCAAGATGTGATGTTTATATTTATAGTCCGTTAATGTGAAGGAAAAGTTATTATTTACGATTTGTCTCGAATTTTCGTTGCTTTTGTTATTAGTTAACCAACTTTTATATGAAAAAAAGTTGTGTTTGGTAAAACAGTTAACTGTTACCCATTTGCAGCTTGTATATCGTCTTACAATAAAAGGGCTTTTGGATTTGGTTCCTCTATGTACCGCCAACTAGGGTGTAATCGAGTTGAGTCGAGTCGGTTACTGCCATGGGTGGACGCAAGATTTCACAGTAGGGGTTGCACGGGAAAGTCAGGGGTTGCACGATAGTAGAAAAAATAAATTTTTTGAAAATTTTTCCACTGCGGGCGTAAAAGTCAGGGGTTGCCGGTGCCACCCTGGACCCCCTAAATCAGCCCCTGGTTACTGCCAAGCTCGAAACTCGATTCAAGCCTTAATTTTCAAGCTTGAACTTGATAAAGTAATCGACACTTTCGAGCATTGTTCGACTTCGACTTGAACTTGCAAGCTCGATTCAACTCTATTATATGAAATATGAATAAAATAAGAGGCAAAAGTGTAAATATAGCTCAACTCGATTAAGCTCGTGAGCTTCACGAGCCGAGTATTCCAATACCCGAACTTGATTCGATAGTATACTTGAGTAGCTTGAGCTTGAATTTGACTTGAGTTGAACCGAACCGATTTCAAGTATTTTTCGAGTCGGTCTTGAGTATCTTACGAGTTGACTCGACTCAATTACAACCATACTACTAACTTATATTATAACTGTTGTGTAACACCTGATTCCTGGTATGTATTTTATTCGAGAATTGTATGTATTTTCTCTGGGACTCGACGAGTTGGTGGCCCAAATCGTCGAGTAGAGTCGGGATCCGCGGGAAGTTTAAGTAACCTACTCGACGAGTCGGAGACTGACTCGGCGAGTAGGTGCTGTTTGAGTGAAACCCTAAATTTGAGGGTTTGCACCCTATTTAAACACCTTATCTTAGCCTCCATCATCCCTATCACTCCCAGAGAGCTGTATATCGAAACCCTAGCCGTTTTGTGTGTTCTAAGGCCATTTTGGTGCTTTTTGGTGGGTTGTGAAGCTTGAGAAGAGGGAAGGAACTTGTGAGACCAAGGGGAAACAAGAAGATCCAGATTTTGAAGCTCATTTTCAGCTTATTGGAGGTATGAAGCTGAACCTTTGTCTATAGATCTTGATTTTTTGGGCCTTTTCCTTCATCTTTCTAAGCCCTAGAGAGGTTGTATTTGGGATTTAGTGTTGGAAGTCAGTGTATGCTTTAGATCCAGGTCTATTGGGGGGTTTTATGGCACAAAGGTGCCCATTTTGTTGCCATGAACACCCCATGCACTTTGGAGGCCATCTTTTATGGCTTTTTGGGCCAAAGACCCCTTGCATGTGTACAAAGTTTGGAACTTTACGTGTAAAATGGACATTAGGAGGCCAGATCTATGGTTTTGGTGTGTTAAGACCCATTTAAACCGACTGTATAGTGTTGGTCAAGGATGGACTGGACGAGTTGTTCTTGGGACTCGGCGAGTTGAGGTGTGTTGACCACCAAATCCTTTCTGTGGATGGACCAGTTGTTAGGGAGGAAGTCCCGTGGATGTTTAGACACGAAAAGGGACCTGAGAATCATGGGACTCGACGAGTGTATGAGCAGACTCGGCGAGTCCAAGGCAATCTCCTAATCTTTGAAGATGGACTCGACGAGTTGTTCATACAACTCGGCGAGCCGTAGTCCGGACACATTCTTATGAGGGAGATGAACTCACCGAGTTCAAAGAAGAACTCGACGAGTCGGATGAAGATGGTCCCGATGGTTTGAATGAAGGAGAACCCGTCGAGTTCTTGCTAGACTCGACGAGTGGAGTCGGGGTTGGATCGGGTTAGTGGAGTATGGACTCGACGAGTTGGTAGACCAACTCGGCGAGTCAGGTCAACTGGGTGTTGACTTTGACCAATGTTGACTTTTACCGGACTTGAGTTGACCCTGGTTAGGGTTGTATATTCCATTTGATGACTTAGAAGGGTCGTCGTGTAGGGATTGAGGAGTCGAGGAGAGTCGATCTTCATGCAGGGGACAGTTCAGACACTACACGACATCGAGGTGAGTTACCTTCCAGTAGAAATAGGTCTAAGGCACTAAGACCGGCCCACTAGTAGTTGATTAGTTGAGATGATTGTCTTTGTGATAATTGTCTTGTCTGCTATTGCTTGATATGTGAGTATGCTAGTTTGCTATGATATGTGAGATAGTATCAGTAGAAGGGGACTAGTCCCCGAATCGGTCGTTGGGACCAACGGGTAGGTCGGACACCCTAGATATGTCTGACAACATGATTGAGATATGATATTATGTGTTAGCAGTAGGGGGTGAAATAGTCCTCGTGTTCGGTTGAAAGACCGGAGGGTAGGTCGACACCCCAGAATAGCCTGACATGGGTAGGTCAGCACCCCAGAATGGCTCGACATGGGTAGGTCAGCACCCCAGAATGGCTTGACATGGGTAGGACGGGCGCCCCAGAATTGTCCGGCAGTATATATGCTATGTGATTGTATGGTATGTGGTATGATGGGGAAACTCACTAAGCTTTGTGCTTACAGTTTAAGTTTTGGTTTCAGGTACCTCTTCGTCTAAGGGGAAGGAGTCGGCGGTGTAGCAGCGCATCACACACACACACACGTGGTTTCCGCATGGAGTTTTCTGGGAATGTACTCTGATTTATTTTACTTTTGACACAATATGATTTTTAGACACATTGTTATGTTTCTATTTACAAATGACATGGCATGGGAAATGTTTTGGTAAACTATGTTGTGAATTACTTAATTAAAAATGAAATTTTTGGGCTTGAAATTTGGGATGTTACATGTTGGATTAGTGTCTAAGCCCGTAATTATATTTGGTAAGTACTTGATCTGGTTGTGCATGGTCCTTTTGGGTTGCCTTCACCAAAGCAACATGATAGGATGATTTGTGAATAAAGAGGTTATCATGATTTATTAATATGTTATATGAATAATATATTAATGGATAAATCATATAATTAAATTAATATTAGACAAAAATTAATTAAGAAATTAATTCTGTGGCTAAAAGATATTAATTTAATATCAGGGACTTAAACTGTCAAATATGTGATAGTTGAGTATTGGGCTGAGGAGCCTCTTGGACTAGGCATGGACGAAATTAGGAGATGTCCATCTCTAATTTCGGCCCTAAGGCCCTATTCCAGAAGCTTCCTTGGATAGCTTAAGGCCTAAGCCGTCCATTAGGGTTTTTGACTGAAACCCTAACAACTTCAGTATAAATAGGACCCTAAGGTTCCAGAATTCGACTACCCTATTCCTAAGAGTTATAGAGCCGAATTCAAGAAGCCTCCAACCTCTCTCCAAGATCATTCTTTTGCTATTGGTGTTTGTAAGCCATTAGAGGAGTGACACTTGTGACTCTAAGCTTCAAAGACAAGAAGATTCAAGCAAGCAATTGGAGGTAATGATCTAGATCTGATTTATTTCATATAATTTCGAATTATTCTCATTAGATCTAGGGTTTGTAAGTCTTGGATGATTGCATGTACAATTAGTGAAACCTAGATCCAAGCATTAGGGTTTGCATGAGCACATAAGATGTTCTTTTGGCTCAAACCCATCAGTGGTATCAGAGCTTTGTTTGGTTTCCATTGTATTGATGCCTTGTATGTTCATCTTGCTGAAAAAATCATTTTTTGGCCCTCTGTTCGACCTGACTCGGCGAGTCAGCCCAGTTAGTGACTCGGCGAGTCCAGTTAGTGGCTCGGCGAGTCGGAGCGTCAAACAGAGGGGTTTTCGGGATTTTTTGTTGATTTGCTTAAGGATAATTGCCTAAATCGTTTTTTACTAATAAAATCCGAATTTTATTACTGTTTTATTATTATCCTTACCAAATCAAAAGATAATTACCAATTTTTTAAATAATAATTTCCTTATTTGATAATATTTGATTATTTGAATTAATTGTTGAATTATCTTGCAAGTAAATTGACTAGGTCAAATTTAGATAATCATTAAATTAATTGTTTAATTTAAATTATTTGCTATTTGATCCTTTGTGTTTTGAAAAGTTCAAAACTTGTCCTCAAGTTTTGAAATTTAAATTTTTATGATTAAAAGGTTAATTTGAACTATTTAAATTTCAAACCTTAGAATTTTACAAGTTTTAAAATTCAACCTTATACTTTATAATATTATAAGACTAATATATATATATATATATATATATATATATATATATATATATATATATATATATATGTATGTATAACTTAAATGCTAGCCTTACTGTTAGTAGGCCTCATTCACGAAGCCGATCTATAAGGGGGGGGGGGGATAAGGTTATGGCCTATAAAATGGCCGTTTAATGGGTGTCCACTCTCACCCACCACTTCCTTGATTGGTGGAGGGTCGTTAGCCGAACAGGTAGGATAGGGAAACCACTTTCTCATTAATAAGTATAATGAATTATAAAAGTAACTAAATGTTTTTACAAAATTCCCAATCTTAGTTACTTTAGGCAAAAGTGAATTTGATGCAATTCCATGAAATTACACTTTGTACCCTTGCTAATACGTTAATGGAGCGTGTGTGGTTAACCGACACATTAACTGGGTTCTAAGCAAAGGTGGCAAAGGGTGACTCATTGTTTGTCATAGTTCGATGGAGCGTGTGTGGTTAACCGGCACATCGAATAGGTGCCTGTAACAATGAGGGCACGATGTACATTTGCATGGTTATTCACACCCGCTTTGTGATCCTCGGCATCCCAGTCGCAAACTAGAGGGGCATATCGAGATTTTAAAATGCCATTGAAAAGTTCAATAAATCTCAAAAGATCTTAGGAGTTTTCAATACATTTAAAACTTAGCTTTAATTTGTTTTTCATGGCGGAAATTAGTGAATCGTCATTCACTTACCTTCAAATTATTTACTTGTTAGATTACGACATCCCTCTTCTAATTTGTAGATAATGTTTTTTTTTCATTTGGGTATTTAATTG